ACACACTGGCACCTTTACAGAAAACTTTTACTAATGGGTGATTACCAATCGAACTAGTTGAAATGAGAGAAATCGCGGAGCGCATAGTATTAAGCGTGGAATACGAGCCGATGTGTCGTAATTAGCGTGATAAGAACCCAAGGACATGATCCACAGTCGGAGAAAAAGGAGAGACGCTCTGAGTCTGACAGAAATCCCACCAGCTTCGTAGTGGACGAGCATATTGACGTATCGTGGCTGGAGAAAGTGAGGCAAGGATGACGTCTAAAGCTGATGACGGAACTGCCTGTGATTCGAAAGCCTCCCTGATAACTTCCCTGCCGCCAGGGAAAGGCTGCGCCACTCTGGATGTGAGTTCCTAAAGGGAGAAGAAAGCAAATAGTGAGACGGTGAAAGGATGATAGGATCCGAGACGAGAAGACGACAAAACATGGGGAACCACGGCTGTGAAGGCCACCAGGGTACGATCAAAACACCTCGAGCTCCATCATCTATGATCTTACGCAAAGCACGGGCAATGAGTATAAAAGGGGGGAATGCATAAAAATAGAACTGATTCCAAGATAAGGTGAACGCATCTATTGCCCAAGATCCGGGGTCAGGAAGCCAAGAGACATAAACCTCGTGTTTGGTATTAAAGGCCGAGGCGAAAAGGTCAATGTCAAAAGGTCCATAGGTTTGGTCAATGAGGTAAAAGGCCGAAGTTGATAAGGACCATTCGGTGTCGGGTATCGACACCCGGGATTCGGCATCTGCAATGACATTATCAAGAGAAGCAATATAAGAGGCAAATAAATGAATCCGACGCTTTTCACACCACTGCCAAATGTCACGAACGATATTGGATAAAAGAGGGCATTGAATTGAACCGAACTTATTAATGTAGGAAATAGCAGTGGTGTTATCCACTCGAAGGAGGATGTCACAATCAAGAGAGTGAGCTGCAAAGCATTGTAAAGCATAAAAAACTGCCTTTAGCTCCAGGACATTAATATGAAGCGTTTTTTCAGCCTCATTCCACCAACCGTGAGTTCGTTGATTCGCACAGGAGGCTCCCCAGCCGGTGAGGGAAGCATCAGAGAAGATTTCACAGGAATAAGAAGTAGACCTGATAAAATGAAGCTGATCAGCATCTGAAAAAATGCGAAGCCACCAGTCAAAATCTTCTTTAAGAAACGTAGGAATAAACATGCGGTTATCATAATCCATGGGGTGTTGTCTGAGAGCGAGAAATTTTTCCCGCTCAAAACGTTTGGTATATAGCAGTCCATACGGTACTGCAGGGCAGACAGACACGAGGGAACCAATCATACTCGCAAATTCTCGGATAGAGCACTGAGATTTTTCTGACATAGACTGCACCCGATTTAGCAGGCTCCGTCTCCTGTCAGGTGGGATAGCCATGGACTGCTGGATAGAATCAAAGATAAACCCGAGATATCGGCAATGCGATGAAGGTCTTAATTGAGATTTAGCGTAATTAATCACAAACCCGAGCGACGAGAGGAGTTGGAGGGATGCTACAACATTACGCTGACATTCCTCCTCAGATTCACGAAAAGAGGGATGTATGGGGACCAAGAGATACGCGTCCTCAAGGTCGATCGAAGCCATCCTGCAGTCCGGAGTCATGAGGCGAATCACAGTGCGCCAATCCTCCAGTTTAAAGTGTGGTGGAGAGATATGTGCATTCAAGTCTCGCAGATTCAGAATAAAGCGCATTCCTCCGGATGACTTCGGAACTAGGAAAAAGGAGGATAAAAATTGATCCTCAGAAGGTGTAGCTACCACTAGAGCACCTTTCTGACATAAACGTTGAATCTCGGCATCGCAATGATCCGCCTCTGAAGACGAAAAGGATGGTTCTCGCAGAAAGGGACGAGGAGGAGGTGACGTAGAAAGGGGAATAATATAACCTGAAATGGCTTGTAATACCTGAGAATCTGATGTTATAGTCCTCCATTGGTCAGCGAACATAGAAAGCCGTCCTGCGGTGGTAGTTGAGTCTACCGACGGGGGCCTGCACGGGAGCGGGACGACGAGCGTCGAGTGCGGTTCAGCTGATGCGCGCCCCTCCTCGACGGATGAACCGACGAGTTCCGAGGAAGAGGGGGTCGCACGTTTCCCTGCTTTCGGGGTATTTTCTCCCGTTGTTGATTTGCTTGTTGTCTGAGCTGCGGAGCCGATGACCGCGGCTGAGAAAGGGACGGCGGAGGAGGTTTCCTAGCCGTCTTTCGAGCCATCCGTTCGATAGATTGCGCAGCGTTGACATCTTCCGCAAAATTACTACCGAAAAGGCAGTCATCAATAGGCGCTGAATCCGATGCAGATTTTCCCAGAAAATTCAAGGATGGAACGATGAATGCACGCCGAGTCTGAGATAGGCGGAAATGATGATCCGCTAGGAGGCGAATACCATCTGCAATTTTGGTGAGGGCGGTCTTCCCTTCGGGTGAAGTCTGAATCCAATCAAGTTTGGATAGCTCCGAAACACCGGAGCCAAAGGCGTTCAATGACGCGCCTACCTGAGCCTGGGAGGACAGTTGATGTTTATCACGAGCGACGACAGTCGCGCTGAGATTCGGGACAATCTCTTTATTCACTCGTGGAGGGGTTAGGAATGCTAGGTCATCCTTCGGTTCATACTGCGCAAGGAGGTGATTGCGTAGATCCTCTTTTAGGCCGGAACGAACCTCATAACGAGTGGTCTCCAGTATGACAGGTAACCACGAAGATACCGTTGGGGGTTGAGCAGGTTGTCCAAACAGCTCCAAGGCCAACCTTGAAGCAAGTGGAGGTTCCTCAGAATCGCTTCTCTCGAAATGCGTAGTAACCACAGGGGTGGTGAATGTCACAGCGCTAGGGTGAATAGGCGCAGAAGTCGTTGGGTCGCTGCCCCGAAAGGTATCATTCGTCTGTTCTACGACGGAAAAAGTGTCGGGGACGGAGGCCTCGCCGGGCTCGTCCACAGAGGTCGTCAAGCCCTCGGGCGAGAGGAGACTCGCC